TATGTTCTCCTTCATTTCTGTCAACCACACGTTTCCAGCTATCATGGTTGCTAGGCAACCTGGGCAGCACGACGGAGGCTAGACCGTCCCATTTCACAAGCCTCACACTTCCGGCCTTAGCGGTCTTTGAGTACGCAGCCCTTGAGGACCGTTGAGGCTGCGTACTTTAAGGCTGCAGACCCTGAATTGGGATACAGCCCATGTCTTGAAGTTCTCCAGAGGCCTGGAAATGAACTAATAATTTGATTCAGGTGTGTTGACCCAGGGTGCTATCTAAAACCTGTCCTGCAGGTTTTAGATAGCTGACGGTATCCTTGAGGCCTGGAGTTCGAGACCCCTCCCCTAGAGCATCTACCTTAACATTATTGAAGCAGTGTGGGGTCGTCTTAAGAGAGAACAGAGGTAAAAGCCAGCCAAAGAATCACTTTGAATGTCCTTTAAGAACCCTAGACAACTATTCCTGAAGATTACTTAAAGAAATTATCAGAAAGCTTGCCTGAGAGAGTTTAGGGTGTGATGAAGAAGGTATTAACTTTCAAACTAATTAGAAATGTATTTTTCTTATATACTTTATTTTCACATATGTTTGGATGTGTTTCAATAAATAGTAGCAACTAGCATCTCACTTTCCTCACAAAATAGAAAATGAGGGGTGGCTCACTGGCCTTTTGGACAGTACTATAGACCAAAAGAATACTTATCAGTAATGGAGTAAAGGGTAACTACATAAACAAACCACTAAATAAACATAAAAAAGAACCACACCAATGTGGAGAAATTGTAAATTAAGGTGGCCAACTGTGAGCAGATCACAGGTTTTTAAATCTGTTCCATTTCAAATTTACCCAATTTTTTTTTCCTCATTAGTTACACAAACCTATAAGCATGCTGGATGCAAATGAACAGATTCCCCATCTCTCACAATAATATAATCTCCTGAGTAAATCCAGTCTGCAGGAAGCCAAAGGACGTCACTTAGCAGGGATGGGCTGCCCAGAATAGATAGAACAAGTGTGCAGTGAAACTGTTGACCTGTAGCATGCTCTATATTATATTTATGTAAACCTCCAGAATCCTGTTTTCTTTTTCTTTTCTTTTTCCAAAGAAACATCTACATCACTGAGGAGCCTCTGATTTAGGTAACATCAGGGGGTTTGGGAAAGATGAACAAAAGCCCCTTTCAACCCCCAAAGTAGGAAATGAACCGTGGGATGATGGGTAACAGCCAGGAGTAACTGAGCAATGATAATATACAGAAGAAGGCTGTCACAAAGATGGCTTTCTATTTGGAATGAGGTGGAGGGATAATCGGGGAGATAGATCATAAATAGTTAAAAATATTGGTTGAAATGTCAAAGCTGAGACATGTCAACACCACCATGAGGCCAGCAATGATGATTTCCCTCTTTCTTACAGAAAACAATACAAAACAACAACAACTTTGTCTAGTTTTATGGTTCTTTTCCATGCAAAATAAAATA